TYWTYAYYWSTACTCAGGGATTTTTCTGTTGYGTTTTACTGGAASTCCTGAACGGTCCTCGTCCCTTCGCAACCACTTGAGTTAATTGTTATCTGCGTTACTATGTGTTTCGATAATCGGCTTTGTCTGCTTCCGTGGCATTCACCTTGCGAACTCGGGCAACTCTTTTGTGAGTACTGTTGCAAGAGTCAACCAGCGATTTTCAACAGGGGTGAAAAATGTGAAATAGCGAGATGTTTCACATGTATGGAAAAGGTCGTAGCGTTCTACGGGAAGATGTACTATGCGGTCTGACAAAAGAAGTGTGCTGTCACGGGCGATGACCAGAGGGACACCCTTGTAGTCGTACTACTCTTTCCGTAGAACCGAATCGGAGATCCCTCTGCACCCTCTGATCGTTCGGTCGTTTGCCTTCATTTTTTCGTGCTACGGCACAAAATGCTCGCCTCTTTTGCGTAGCTCCACCGCTCGGAGTGCCATGCGCGTGCAGTTTTCCATARTGAATCATCGAACGGAGAGCATCTGTCGTGCCAAACGGAAAAACGAGGGTGGTGGTCTTGGGAAAGGAACCTCATTCGTTCACTTAACAGTACGCGACCTCTGTACCACTGGTACGTGCACGATAGTGATCTGCCATGCGCCAACCTCAGTGAATTTTCTTGCTTTTGGTCGACGATGGGTACGGGCTTTAAGTAACACGTGCATCGGTGCTTTCGTCCAATCCGTGTCCCGAACGCCGAACGTCGACAGAAACCACGCCTGTGATAAAATCCGGTGTCGTTCTTCGCCGACAGCCGGGGAACGGTCCCCGGCTCGCTATGCTCATTTTTCTCGCTCGCAGAAAATTCTTGGTGGCGTATCACAACGGATAGGCCCCATCGCCGTTCATTTCGACGGTAATTTAACGCATATTTTATGTATGGGGAAAAGCGGATTTCGTGGGAATTCCTCAGGTGGGTCCATGTTTTGGATTCGGYGGTACGGCGCGAATCTAGAATAACATACCCTAACAGGTGGTTCCGGCGATTGTGTCCAGTTCTCGCCGTTCGGTCGTACCGGTACAGCACCTTGGAGTGCAGTACTGTACTGCTAACCGGGAAGCGAAGTATGTACTCCAACTACGAGTACGTACTTGGTACTTAACCGTACTTCTAGCAAATTTAAACAAGTATGTACCGTATGTACATAGAATAAGAAGGTATCATAGTATAATAATAGCAGCGTCTCAGTTCAAAACCTGAGGATGAGTTGTACAACTAACTCGCAGTTGTAGATATGTTAGTAATTATTCAGAACGCATCAAGCAATGAATACAAGAAACAACACAGGCTTMAAAGAGGACGAAGCAACACGAGCAATCAGGGCATAGAAAATACACAGCACGACATTGCTGAAGAGCAACAAGAAGAAGTAAAGAACAAGTTTGTATCGATAAGTGTTCAAGTAGTATTATTATGCCTACTATTCCTCTTTGAGGACGTACTAGTACTATTGGTAATGCAGTGGTGCATTTGAGACTTTATTTGGTGGTGATCTCACACTATGCCGCTTGTCTGCGTGACGGAAAGAATTAACAATTACTGTATTGAAAAAATTGAATATCATTAGTTACATGGCCCCTGTACATGTGTCGAGGGAGGTTCAAAGGACGACACAAAACGCAACACTTCCCTTACCTATATGTTGTTTGTGCTTTCCTCTTCAACAACACAATAGGAAAGAAACCAAAAAAAATCGTTTGGTTGCGGTTGCGAGTGGAATGGCATGCGTTCGTCGAGTCGATTCTGACCCGTGTATGCCACAGCTGCTGCTGGCCCTTGACGCAGCGATTGATTCATTTTCATTCGTTGGTCATTCCGTCGGAAAAAATCCTTTCCCGAAAATCAAACCACTGTCGCCCTTGGAACACTTGTTAGATCCTCCTCCACAACAATCTCCCCTCTTCCGCTTCATAGGGTGGTGATCCATCGCGTAATACCTCCGAAGATTACTTGATTCGCTGTCACTGAGGGTTCTCTCTTCAAATATTGATRCGGCGTTCATGATGGTGTTCTCGAKCTSATCTTTTCTTGTGCGCTTGTATTGCTTGAGGGCGGCAGCGATCTTTAACCGAACCATTTGTCGGTCCTGCATCAGAATCCACATTTCTTTTTTTCTTGACCATTCAAGGAATCGCCCGTTGCGGTCTTCAATGGCGCTGAGGATCCGTAAGGTGATTTCATATTTCTCTCTCTTCGTTTTCCCGTTCGAGTGCTCGCGGCTGTTGGTCTCTATCAACTCGCGATAGTACATGTTTCCGGGATTATTTCGGAAGGTAGGACCCTTGCGAAAGATCACATCATAGGATCTTGGGCATTCTACAATCTCCTCTTTGAGAGGTGTCTTTGAGCACTCCCAATCCATCTTGGTTCGAAGAAAATTGAGCCATGCCAAATGATTGCTGTATTTTACGGTTCCGGTACACGAGATGGGTAGCATATCAGTCGGTACTCCATAACTAGATAGTTTGTAACGAAGTTCTGTTTGACTTCCTATTGATYWTCGAAAAAACAACAAAGGTTGGTGTAAGCAACAACATCACGATCCAAGACGACATCCAAATCAAWAAGTTCTATTCAAAACCCTCTGTCATGCAGTGCGTACCAAAATGTGCCTTGTAGATCGATCGCATTTGCGAATTTAATCCGAAGACATACAAAGACGATAGGGCTTTGAAAAAGGGCGAGTTGTTGTAGTATTGTTGCAGACTTGCCACCCGTACCGGAAGGGCATTGTTTTGGCGCTTATGGTACGAGCGGAGGTTAGATTGCATATCGGGTCGAATCTTTTGCTCCCAAGTATTGTCGTTTGCCTCATCAAAGACCCATGCAACAATCACAACGCCCTTTCGTTGCGTTTCGACATCCTCCGATACCACCCAATGAAGATACATGAGGATCTTAAAACGCAGAGGTACGGGCAAATGGAAATTGCAATTTCCAACCCCGGTAAGAACACGTCGTCCACTCCGGTCGCGAAAAGGGAGGTATTGGTTTCTTGACTGCTGTAGGCAAATGAATTCCTCTTCGTTGAAATCAGAAAGTTTGATGGGCCGCTCCGCGACATAATCGCCAAAGAGATCTGATGTGAACTCCAGAAAATCGATAAGACGCTGAACAGCCTTGTCGACCACAAAACACTCTGATCGCAAAAATCGCAGCCGTATGTCTTGATTATTGAGATAGCAACMGAATTGTTGCACGTGGGACGGTGTTTGCGGTCTAGATGTTGTGTACACAACATTCCGCAACACCCTGTGGTTTARTTTCCTTGCGTTTACTTGCAGGTCGAATTCTTGCAAGGAACTATTGAGAAGATCGGGGGATTCMTCTGCTGCCCCGCAACGGACGCCGTGAAGCTCTTCTTCGATTGCCTGGCGATCCTTGAAACTGAGTCTGTTGAGTTCATCCGCYAATATATTGTCCACCGCAAAATTTGATGGMGGGTCCTCCAGTCGTTTGTTTTGTGCCCCTCTTSCACTAAGACCAATGCTATMGGCATTGCCCCCAACTGAAGCCTGCTCCATCCTGCCCGTGAAATCCCGTGTGTTATGTTATGATGTGATTCTTATGTTTTGCGATACTATGCGATGCGATGGGACTCGCTGCTTATGCCGATGCCGATGCCGATGCGATGTGGTGTAATCTTTTCTTCTTGTTACGTTCTGTTCTGGACCGAAACAGAAGGCCTTGTACCAACGCCAGTGGACCGACGGCAATTCTGGTGTCGCATTTCTTGAGTCTTCTATCAGTGTGTTAAGTCAAAACTACTAAGGAAACAAGAAACGGCGTACTTTAAACAAATGTTTTGGTGTTKCTTGTTCCCAGAAAGTTTTTTTTTTGAGGGGGGGGTTATAGTAACATGAGCTTTAGAMTGGACACACKTCGTTCTTTTCCAATAAAACTTAAGTGGGAATAAATCAGATTTTTGAATGCTTAAATAATATCAAGCTCTCTYAAAAATATTGCCCTTAGGGTGCTTTCTGTTCTACGTTCTTTGTCTTCCAACGGAAAAGTTAGTTTTGAACAAAAAYTGCGTCAAGAATTTCGTTGCACAATAATGAATTTCCTTACTAAACATAGAGAGCTTCTATCATATAAGCCTGAAAGAGAAACCAAAATAAAATCGGTTCGAAATTAGACTTATGTATACACTAAATATTAAGTTTTCTTTGCTAGAACTCGCATTTAATGGACATATACCGTAGGAACGTTGATTTAACAAACTCTCTCTTCAAGCAATCTGGAATTACTATTCTTCGTCAGAATTCGCAATCGAGGGAGCATCTTAATCTTCATACGGTACTTGTAGCACATAGAAAGAAAACTACTTGTAGCTTATTGAGAAACCCAGCATAATTAATCCGCTAGTAAAAATAGTTTTAGTTCCATTGACTGCATGCTGGGCCCACAAAAAGACATTTTCAATGGTTTCTTTTCCTGGAAAAACGTTGGAGWGCGTTGTGAGTCTCTGAGGGCAAATTCAACGGAATACGAGTACARTGTCTTTCGTCCAGCAGTTGGATCTAGACCTATTGGAAACAACATTCTTTGAGAAGATGTGGATTCAGTCGTTGAATTTCACTAACAACGTCGYAAACTGCCATGAATAGATTATCCCTCCGCGAGTTCGTGGTGTGTTTTTTATTGCACAAAAAGCTTTGCTTGTAAAGCCGTGATGGAGAAGAAAATCTACATTATTTGATTCCACGWGTATCTGTCGTTAACGTTTGAAGCAGTGTGCGCAGAGGAAAAGGATGGGTCGTTCTTCTTTGAATAGATTATTGTAAAGTGCATTCGAGCAGATTTGAATTTTGTTTGGCTACTGSTAGTGACAATTCCTATTTCAATCAATCAGTAATTAACTGAATATATTATTTTGTTGTTCTTCTTCGTGGCAGAAAATTTGAATCGGTCCGGTCRTCAGTGGCTCCCGAGGGCCGGGGCAAACACGGACGTTCCGGCAGCCGAGCCATCTATTTCCATGCTGGCCGCTTCCTTGTGGCTGCCACCAGTGACGTTCTCGTTGCTCGGGCCCCCGTCCTTTCCGTCTGCAAAATAGAGGGTCACGGTGAATTTCTTGTCGTCCTCGTCCCAGTGGGTGACYAAGCGTCCCGGATCTCTGTCGAGAGGCTCGTTCGGAATCTTGAACGCGATGGTTTCGTAGGGTTCCGCTGCAAACAAGACGTACTGGTAGCGCTTGTCCCTAGGCAGATCGACCCGTTGTTCAAAGGCAGACATRAAGCGGTGGCGGGGCTGCAGATCGGTCTCAATGTCCTTGTAGGTCAGCTCGAAGGTCAGGCATCGCTGGGACGTATCGGGGTCCTTCGACTTGAATACCTGGTAGGCSGGTCGTCCAATCCTGGGGACCTTGCGAGTGGTTGCCGGCTGGCACACAAATCGTCCGCCGGGAGGGGGCCGCTTCAGGTTGTTCCGGTCGGCSAGCTGTTCCTCCCGCTCTTTTCGCAGTTTTTCCATGTGGGCACGTTTCGCGAGCCCCGCCTGGTGCTTCTTTCCCTGGGTRTGGGCCAGGTAATTGGCCTCGTTCGTGTGCAACGTAAGACAGAGCTTGCACTCGTAGGTTCCCAAGTGATTCCGCATCAGGTAGGGGTCCTTGGCCAAATCAATCGATTCCAAAGCCAGCTGCTTGAGGCGCTCCTTCCGCTCCCGCTCGGAATTCTGGGACGAAGAGACACCACCTCCCCCAAACTTGGACCCGACACGGTTCTGGCGGTCGATACCACCCAGCAATCGAGCGGACGTCGAGAGGGTGAGATAAAGGGGAAACAGCGGGGTGCTAGAGGAAGAAGATGCGGTTTCACTGTTGCTGCGCCYTGCAACACCAACATCATCAGTTGTTCCCGACTCGGATTTCGCAGCAGACGATCCGGTWATCCAATCCCAGATCCTATCCAGTGACACCTTTCTTCCCTGGTGATAAAAGGCGACCATCAGCGGAGGAGAAGACCCCTGCTGGCTCGGTCGATCCGCTTGCCGAGCAAGTCCTGGATCCTCGCGCTGGCGTCTTCTAACTGCTGGAGTGGGTGACGTCGGAACMAACGCGGCACTGGAGCTGCGGACCCCGGAGTGAGAGTAGAATCGCCGGGGGCTCTTGAACAATCTCCTGTTGCCAGCCCCGGAGTAGTAGTAGTAGTCGTCTCGATTGATGTCCATCTCGTGCAAGCGAGTGGCCACTACCGTTTGCTCCTTTTCGTCGTCGCTGCTCGACCACCCGTTGTTGTGAGTTTGRCATTCGTTCTGGTGCGGATGCTGGTGGGCRTACTCCGTTTCGATCTCCATTCCGTCGTCCTCGCCTTCGACCTCGAGGTTGTAGAGAGACCGGAGGTTTCGTTTGCGTCCCACATCTCTTCGCTTCGAGGCGCCGATCAGGTGGAAGAGGAGCTCTTCTTTGCTCTCCCGATCCACGTCGTATTCGTGCTCGTCCTCGAATATTCGGCTCGTGTCGAGGGCCGCCGCAATGGCGGCGGCTTCTTCCTCTGCTTCCGTAGTGGCGGGGTGACCGTGTGGGTAGTCGCAGTAGTTGCTGCTGGATAACACCGAAGCCGTGCGTCTTTCCCCGGGCGAGGAAAAAGCGAGTGTCGGTTTGGCTCCCGATGTTGCGGTGGCTCCCGCCTTGGCTTTGGAGACGAAGTGATCGACGGGGATCACCGCAGTGTTCCCACGCGGTGTCTTGAGCAAGATTTGCTTCGTCATCGTGCYTCGAGCGACTCTCGTTGCAAAGCCCTTCGCTTTCCTCGGGTCTCGTTCGTAGTTGGTACAACACAAATGCAACGACAGGCGGCGGCTGTTGTACGGCGATGCAACGAAAAGGAGAAAGGGTGAAAGTTATCTCCGCTGTTCGAGAGCTAGCTCCGCAGAAGCAATTCTGGCACACGCAACGAGGTGTCGCTGGATGCACTGGACTAGTTCCCGATAGACTCTCCCGGGCTGGCTTTAGAACGGAGAACGACTTTGATCCTGGCCTGGCCTGCCCTGCGTTCGTTCGTTCGTTCGTTCGTTCGCTTGTTAGTTTGTGAAAAAGATTGAGATGGGAGACAACCGTGGTATTATTGTACGACTTGTTTTTCCGATGTACCCGGCCGTTCCGTCTGGTGAATGCGCTATTAAGGGACTAACAACTAACAGTCCTGGGGAGGAACTTCCGTACCGTCCGGTACGGTACTCGTACCACTCTGCGAAGAATCGCTGTAGGATTAGTACAGTGCGTACGGTAKCACCGCACTCGAAGGAGGTGGGATGATGTTGCGCTACGGAGAGGAAGGTCAATCAGAAGGGCGGAATTGCGCGATCGCCATGGAGTTTCGTACCGTAGGTACTCGTACTTGGGGTACGAGTATCGTACTTAACTGCCGTCGCACGACTTGTGGTTCAAAGTGCGCACAAAAGAATCCATCAACAATTAATCTCCTTCAACGGGCAGAAACCTTGTACGTACCKTGTACAGTRGCCATGTACGTAYGACAAGTGATAATTATGACCCCAGGTTACGACAGTGACAGAGCAAAGTTCTTCGTTGTTGTCAATATTACAGGAAGAAGCGCACGTGCTACTACAATAGTTTTTAGAAAACCAAAAGGAGACACGGGACGGGAATAACAAAATACTGWAGGTGACGAGTGAGGAGGTAATAGTACCTCGTACGTACGAGTACGACGTAMGTGTGCTTCAATAATTCTAGCTCTCAACGATTTATTGTTTTCAATCGCTTTCTTTTAGCGATTTTGACAAGTCCCGTAGTCTTCGTACGTATTTCTCCTACCGATAGCATCAACAGACGACAATGGTTCTGTTCATTCCCGCATACATTAAAAATATGTAGTTTTTGACCGGCTCGTTTAATGTATCTCAATTACACAGATTCTTGTTGTCATGTGTATTTGAGTTAGGAAGTACTTGTACATATTTATTGGAATCCTTGRCTAAAAATTTTCAGTCTTCTGAGCAGGCATGCCTGAAAAGATAGTCACTGGGCACCAAACTGAAGATTTTGATCTTCTTCCTTCCTTGTTGTTCTTGTTCTTAAAAGAACACCAAGAACAAGCATGTCTTTCCTTCGACTTCTTCTTGTTCGTCCTCCTGYTCATCTTGTCTGTCTCAAGGACAGGAGAACACATGAACGACACCTTCAGCAGAACAACACATGACTAGAGAATGCTGAYCATGACAATGGCAATGATGGCTGGTGTGTGCAGCCCTCTACTTAATACTAGTAGTACTAGTACTACAAGTATCAACAACACTCTTCTGTTGCTTGTGGTGGTGGACAAGGATACAGGAGCTTGCTCAGAGAGAAAGGAGCACCAACGCTGGCGCCTTGAGAGGGAAGACCTTGAAGAGAGGGAGGAAGACCATGTCACAAAGTCCTGTATGTGATGCATACACATTGTTGATTGCATTGCTGAGGATCAGCATAAAAAAGAAGATGGAGTCATTCAAGAACTGGTAGTAACTCCTCTTCCTCTACAGCCACTATCCATCATGGCTCCAGCTCCAGCAGCTGTAGTGGCTCCAACTGCACAAGAAAGAGGAAGGAGGAGTCATGGTGGTTCCTGTAATTGCAGCCTTAGGGAGACCATCTCCATGTTGTAGTACACCCTACCTGAAAGAGATCCTTCCTAGTAGTATTGGAGCATACTACTAGTATCAATGGGACTGGTTGTTTGACACCATGAAGAAAACTGGAATACCGGAAGAGATAAGAAGGATTCCATCACTAGTAGGAAGTACTCAGCCCTCCACACAAAAATCAATTCCTACTTTGCAATCCAAACACAACTCCTGCTATCAAGCTTGCAAAGGACGAGAAGCATTTGATTGGTGTAAAAGGCTGCCTGCAGAGTTCTTGGAGAGGAGGAATTTGATTTGGAGGAAGGACRCATGATTATTAGTGAGGATGACACCACTTTTGAGAACAATGAGAACAAAAATAGTCCTCCTCCACTTAGTAGACAGCCTTCTCAATTTACTCAAGAAATGCCAACACCAACTCAGCTCAAYCAGCTTGAGATGCTGACGCAGCATGAGACACCAACTCAGATAGTAGTGCYGGCCTCTCAGGATACTACTACTCAAGCATCCACTCAAGCATTGACTCAAGCATCCAGCTCCCAATGATCCACTCAGCAAGCATCCACTCAAGAAATGTTGTTGTCAACTGCATCCACTCAAGAAGCTCAAACCTTGTTTTCCACTCAAGATGTTTCTCAGAGTACTCCCCACACCCACATCCTCCAGCAAAGAGATCATACTCAAGAGCCTCATCAAGCAGCAATAGCAGCAACAACAGCAACAACACAGATTTTGTGTCCATGTTCAAGATGTCCATCATGAAGCATCAGGAATTGCTTAGTCAACAGCAACAAGCCTTGCAAGAAGAACCAATGGCATTGATGCAACAGAATCAGCAAACCATGACAGAAATCAAAGACACGATTTTCCCCCTTGCCAGCACTTATCTCCCTGCTACTGCTCCTTACAAGAGGAGAAAACACAAGGACTTGAACAATGACAATTCATATTTTGAATAAGAATTGTCCTACGGTCATTTACTAATTAGAATTGAGACTGCTAAACTAGTTTACTGTTTGCTGATTGCTGTCTACTAGTAGTACTCCCTCCTGTTTGCTCAGTTTGTAATTTATGAGGAGTACTGCAGATTACTGCAGTATACTGGTGATTCTAAATCCTCTCCATATGACAACACTTTGTGCTAATCTGAATTGTGTCCAGATTAATTGGTTGCTCCTCCCCTTCTAACAACTGAGCATGCCATCAATTGTGTGGGATTGCTTCCATGTGTCAAGTATCCCAAAATATACATTGATGGATACTAGTAGTCATGGATGATTGTGGTGGGATTGTGCAACACATCTCCTCTCTGCTGGTTGCAATTATATTGGATTCCAAATTCTAAAAATGGGGGAAAATATGCACTTTCAGCAAGCTTGTCGTGTCTTTAGTACCAATTAGCTAAGACATTCCTGTATACATAGTGATATATGGATTTATGTATGTGGGAATGAACCAAATGACAAGCAATGAGGATGAGACTTAGAATTTTGAGATACTTTAGAATGTTACAGAGGTACAGTACTGAACCTCATTCCATATTAAATACTTCAAAGAGTAACAACAAATGAATCCTTCTTTTACCACTGGAAGTACCACTGCTAGTAGTACTAGCTACTAATAGTATTACTACTAGTAGTAGTAGTGCTAATGAAACGCAATCCCTAACCATTTCATTAATCAACATTAGCTCTATTTTTTATGTCACAATATTTAATCATCAGAACCGCTTAGTTAAAGCGCGGTAGCACATCGTAATGCTTACTGGAACAAGTAGAACTAGCTAGCATCTACAGTATTACTAGTAGTACTAGTACTTGTATAACAATACTAATATGCGAGATTGCGGTGTCGTCCTGAAGGGTTGATCTCGTGATCCCCACGGGACAAAAGCCAGCACCAAAGTTGTGCTGGTCTGAGCTACGGTCGATTGGCGTTGCTACAGGAGGATGGATCGTCCCGGTCAAACAGGTTGGCCGTGTCCCTTCGCTGGCGGAACTCCTTTGCAAAAACCAGAGACGAGGAAAGCCGTTCCAGCGTGTTGACCAGAGCCACGGCTTCTTGCCGAGAAAGAGAAATGCTCTTGCCACCGTCGTCCTGGTGAAACAGCACCTTGAGGGCGGTCCCGACCCCCAGGGTTTGGAGCGTCCCCCAGAGCTTGCACCGGTCGCATCCGACGCACTGCATGATTGACTGTAGTTCCCGGAAGCGTCGCTGGAGCTCGGACCGCTTGGCCTTGCTGGAATCTTTGAAGTCCTCGTCGAACAGGAGGGCGGATTCGTTAAAGGTGGTTGGGGCCCGTTGCGGAAGGGCTAGCAGCTCGGGGAGGAGGTCCTCCTTCCAGTGGGACAGGCTGTCCTCGAGCACCGGGTCCGACGCCGGAACCGCGGCCGCAATGGCGCCCTCGGCCTTGACCACCGCCCGCAGCAGCAAGGAAAAGGCCACGTACAAATTCTCTACTCGATCGGGGTGGGAGAGAACCCGGTCGTAGGCGATCCGATCGTTGAGACCCCACATGCGGCACTCGCCCACCTTGTGGGGATCCATTTCCAGGCAATAGGAGTGGGCAATGTGGAGAGAAATAGACGAATGCAACCCCGAAATAAATCTATTGTAAAGGCGTTGCTCGGAGGGCAAGAAACAGTACTCATCGACGTTGATCTCGTGTGCACTTTCTTCCACCGACGGTGTTGACTTTGGTGTTTCGGACGGCTGCTGAAAGCAGTTCTGCTTGTGGACCGCGGACCAAACTTTTTCGGC